CACACACACACACACACACACACACACACACGCTTTGTGCCTGTGTACTACATAAGAGAAACAAGATTTACAGTTAACCGGAGGGTAGGCACAGTTAACCGGAGGGGTAGGCAAGTACCAAAGTTGCTGAGCAGATGAACAGCAGGTCGCGCCCCAAAAGGACTTCATTTCAGTGTATAGTATATATTACATTGTTGAGTGCAGATTTGGTGGAACAATGCGACAGCTCGTTTTACCGAATCTATATTCCACTTGCAATTAGACCCCTACTTTTTGCTAAGGAGACAGACAACTGACGATTTTGTGTATGGAACACCATAAAGAGGGCTGACGTCGGAAAGTGTGGATTTGTGTTGACTCTACGATTTATATTGACCATAAAAGACAGGTCTCTTCAAATTCAAAGTTTATGGCTTTGGAACTGCAAATCTTCACATGCCTGCAGAACTTGTTAAACAACCAGTATTTGGCCCAAACATCGGCCATGGGCCCATGACGTTAACGAGCCGCGCTAACCGGGCTTCAGGGCTACCTGACCACAATGGCTGGCGGGGAGCCAGCCAGAACGAACAAAAAAAAAAAAGTCGCGCTGGCGATTCGACAAAGTTTGGTGCACAGGGAGCAATCGGAGCCCCTGAAGAAAGCGTCCCCGAAGTATTGGTGGCTTTAAGTATTGAAGTAGACTAAGTTGCCCGGAAGTATTGGTGGCTTTAATTCAACCCTGAACTTCAAGGTATTTCTAGGTTAGTTTCATGCTTGTAGGCTCAACCTGTTTGGCACAAGGATGAGAGCTTCGTTCATGAAGTAGACTAAGTACTCCGACCGTTGCCTGCCTTGTGACTGAATGGTGCACACATGAGATCAAGAGATCACGAGTTCAAATCCTGACGGATACAATAACAGTAGGTAGCGGGTACCGCCTTTAAGTGGAAGAAAAAAGGGCAGAAAATGCCGTACTCTGTCCAGGTGTGAGCGCTTCGATGAGATAGATAGGGAACACTGTCTACTCACAGAAGACAATTGGAAATCAGAAGAAGAAACCATTTACAACAACAAAATCCTTTCATGCCCCCAAGTGTGACCCTCTATTGCAGCAGAGCATCAACTGGACTGCTGCCGGCCAACTAGCCGAAAGCAAACTCCAAAGTTGCCTCAACGAGAGAGTATGTGACAGAACAGCAAAAACTGACCTTTGTGCGCATCATCTGGATCCAAGTGTGACCCTTGATTGTAGCATCGATCAACGCCTTACTTGAGAGGGTTTCCAGCCTTGCAAGGCACAAAAAATGCACTGCTTCCAGGCAAAGAGCAAGTCTGAAAGCAAGCAACGCAGCAACTACCGTTTGCACACATCAGATAACAGCTGTCACAACTTCAGCACACCCGTGACACACGAGTCACGTAGTCAACAAGCAACTAACCATAGCGATGTGATGTAATCACATTATCACACACATAAAACTAAAACAAAAAAGGCCAACTAACCGTGCGACCTTATACAACCATGCAGGAAATTGTGTGACAACACCATCATGCCCCATCCATTTGCTAATTAGGCATATACAACTGACAAGCCTGGGATGTCATTGGACGACTGACTAAACGTGTGACGCCAAGCGCTTGCGCAACGAAGTGTAGAACATCATCACAGCACCAACAAGTGTCACATAGCCACATGCTAGATGAGCACAGTACAAAGTGTGTGACAATCATGGCCCCAACAAGAGTGTGTGACAGTCCTGCCCCCAACAAGGGAGTGTGACAATCATGCCCCTACCAAGAGTGTGTGACAATCATGCCCCAACAAGCGTGTGACAAGTTGACAACCTTGCCCCCAACAAGAGTGTGTGACAATCATACCCCAACAAGAGTGTGTCACAATCATGTTCCCAACAAGAGAGTGAGACAATCATGCCCCCAACAAGTGTCAAATCGTCACACAACCAACAGGCCTGTGCCTGTGACAAGATTACTCGACAACACACACATTACAGTGATACTGTATAAACCCACATACGGAGCCATTGTTGTTGCACTCATGGGTGTGACTTCGGACGCCAACAGCAAACAAGCAAAGCACGAAACGCAGATCTTTTGCGACCCCAGCGCACGAGGTGGTGAGACTCAACAAAACACACACTAGAGTAGTAGAGTCATATTGCATTAACCCACATACGCAGCGATTTCAGTTGAACTCATGGGTGTAACTTTGGAGGCCAACTGCCACCAAACAAAGTAGGAAGCGCAGTAACTCTGCAACCACAGAGTGCTTTCAAGCTACCAGCCGGACAGCACACCAACACCTTAAATAAAATTGAGCCTTGACAACACCGTCAGGTAGACAAGAACACATACATTGCCCACAGTTTTCGGGTGAGCGTGTGCGTGTGTGTGTGTGTGTGTGTGTGTGTGATGATCTCCGACGTTGTGAACCGACCAGCACACACCTTTGTGGATAAGACACACAGAGGGGAATTATTGCCACAAAGATATCACCAGAGGTGAATCTGATCAACAAACAAACAAACCGTGAAATTACTCCCACAAAGAGATTGCCAACGCAATGCCGACTCCAGCTCCCATTGCCGTTAGCTGGAGCATTGAGGTCTTCAAGTCATTCCCCTGCATGTGGAGATCAGGTATAACCCCCGCAATGGAAAGGTAGATAAACCCCCCTGCTGTGAAACCCTGCCAGCCAATCACACAGTTCCCTCATCTCGTAAGTAAGTTGTACCCTTAGTCTGCGGCGCCAATGCACTTCCATCTCTGCTGAGGCTACTTTTTCTTTGAGTATGTTGTGTATCCGAAAGACAAAAGACAGTGAGACACAACGAGAG